TGGGGAATTCTGGGAGTTGAAGTCCACCCATCTTAAAGCCGCCAAGGCTGAGAAACACTGATGTCATGGTCTAGCTCACACACCATGTTAAACTGAAAGCTGAATTTGTATGAGGAGATGACGCCCAAAGTACCTGCCCCATTATAGCTTAATCGAGCATGTTTTGCAATCCTGCCCCCAGCCACAAAGTAGTCAAACAAGATTAAAAAAAGAGATGCAAGGAAATTACTTTAATCTAAGACAAGCTGGTGACCTGCCAGTGGCCCTCGGGGTTGCCAACAAGATGGGTAAGAAAGCAAGCTATGAGATGTTGCTGTCCTAACCTCTGTCTCTCCACAGCTTCACAGTCAGCGGGGCCAATGGGGCAAAGTACTGAGAGCAGACATTCAGCAACATGTGGAAGGTCATAAATGCCTCCGCCTCCCTGAGGGGCTGAAGGGGGGTATTTCTTCATCTGTTATTGTAAAGTGGCCTTTTCACTAACTGACTAGGATAGCAGAGGCACCCAAGTCTGGGGCTGTTTGATAATGTGTGCGGTAGATTACAGCAGAATAAAAGCTTTTGAGTAACGGAGAGATTATGCAAGAAGATTCCCTCGGCTTGCTTTGCTATTGCTAATTTGTGTGTGTGTGTGTGCACCTTCAAGTCATTTTTGACTCCTGGCGACTGTCTGGACTGTCCCTGCAGTTTTCTTGGCAAGGTTTTTCAGAAGTGGGTTGCTCTGGCCTCCTCCTCCTTCCTAGGGCTGAGAGAGAGGGGCTAGCCCAAGGTCCCCCCGCTGGCTTCGTGCCTCAGGCAGGACTAGAACTCACAGCCTCCTGGTTTCTAGCCAGGTGCCTTGACCGCTACACCAAACTGGCTCTAACTGCGGACTAGCTAGAAACAAAACCCTGAGGACGAGCGCCCCACTTGGCCTGCCTGCATTGCAGCCACTAGATGGCGCTCAAGCACTGCCTTGCTGTCTTTCCGTCCCTTGAACATGCGGCTTTGTGAACGTGCCGCTTCCAATGGGTTTCCATCCAGTGCCGGCCAGCCAGCCAGCCGCAGGAGAGCTGATGCAGCTTACATTGTGAGCTGGGAAGTCCCTGGGTCAAACATCACCAGCAATGCCGGGTGCCACTGTTAGCTGCCCAGTTTCAGTTTGCCATCCTCTGCAGCATCCAGAAGCATCACTTGCCTGCTTAGAAAGTCATCGCAAGGACGCTTGGAGTGATCTGAGCGTTGCTATCTAAATGCTAAGTGGTGATGATATAAAACCGCACTGCAAATTGAAAAATGCTGCGACTCTCATTATCTGCACGCTGTGAGATATGAGAGAGGTGCTCACAGCGTGCCCGTATCATAGGTTGTATTCAGTGACCTCCCCTTGAGAAACAAGTAATGCAGTGAGGCTCATCAGCGGAAAACACTGCTGACGACTGTGTAAAATGCAGATGCATAGAAGATGGTAAAGTATGGGTGGCGTATGAGTTTTAGTGGCCTGGCTGGGCTGCTGTGCTGCTGGCGTGAGTCAGGAGGAGGAGAGAGAAGAAGGGAAGGAGAAGCTCAGGTACGGCCTTGGCGTGCCAGCCAGGTCTGTTGTGGGGCACAGGTAGGCAGCATTCCCACTGGTCAAGCCTTGTCGATAGGTGTTGGGGGAGGTCTACCTCAGTTGCTGGGAGACATGTTACTGCTCTGACCTGTGAAGCAGAGAGAGAGAGAGAGGTAGAAACAGAGAGAGATGTTGCCACATTTTGGCAAGTGCTGCAGAACGTGCTGTTGGAGAGACTCTGTTAGAGGTTTTGGCTGGAGAGAAGCATCCTCACAAGTGTGTGTGCAGCTGCAATTTCCTAGCCCAGGGCGGGAGAAGAGAATGAAGAAGTTGACGGGAGGCTTCTGCTTGGCAGAAGAGAAACGAAACCCCAGACAGAAGGATGAACTACACCCAAACCCCAAGGCAGACGGGGAAAGAGGGAGACAGCTAGCTGCAGACTGGCGCTCGGAGTTTTGGGGAAGCCCCGGACCAGGAACGGCTGGGCAGAAAACTCAGAGGGAGTTGCATCATGCAACTATGCAGAGGGCTGCCTGAGGAGATCCAGGAAGGAGCACACTCTGCAGCGATACAGCCAATTCGCCTCCTATCTCTGTCTCTGTCTCTGTCTCTGTCTCTGTCTCTCTGTGAAGGGGAGGGAGGAGAAGGTGGGGAGGGAAGCTGATCCTGTAGTTTAGCAACAGAGGGGGTGGCTGTTTGTGAACAGCCCTGAGAATGAGGCTCAGGGAAAGTGGCACTTTTGTACATAGACGCTCCTACTTGTTGTAAATAGTTGCATATAGTAAAAGCCTCCACTGTCTCTGTTGTGGTGTGGCAATTGTCTTCCTTAAGGGTAGAAGCACCCCCAGCTGCCAAGGGTCACGTTGTCGCAGCGCGTATCTTTCTGCCTGTGTTGTAGGCCCCAATCCCTTTTTTCCTGCTTCAGGAAAAGCAGACTGAGACCCAGGGTAGCTCTTTGACTTTTATTCTTGCTTTTCCCAGGTGCTTCTGGATTCTCCTCTTTCTTACCCAGCTTGTTGGCAACCCCAAGGCCCACTGGCATTGGATCAGTGAACTCCCTGGGATCCGTAGCTCAAGCATCATCTGAGGATGGGCTGCAGAATCTGCAGTGACATGTCTCTGGTCTTAATATGCTAGGGATGAGCTGGCTCTGGCAAGGAGTCGCCAGCTTGTCTTGCACAGGATAGAAGTGCCCTTTCATATGAGAACTGTACGTACAGCTTCTCAGCCTAAGTAGGACTCCTACAAGTAGTAACAAAAAGCCAGGGCGTTTCTTACATTGGGCCCCGCTGGAGCTGCTGATCAATGTGGCAGCCCTCTTATTCAAAGCCTGAGCTTGCAATAAGGATTTTCCATCTTACTAAAATGAACCAAAGAATACTTTGGAATGCATCATTTTTTCCCGATGGCGCAAAGACGCTATTTCTGAAAGCGTTTGGATATTTCCGGATCAAAGATCTCAAACAATGACTTACAGCATGACCTGATTCATATGTCACACTAAGCCACGGCTTGTTAGTTGGTTGGGTTCACACATTGTACCATCATCGGCCATGATTTACAAGACTAGGTAAATGATTTGCAGTGGCTAGGTCCACGCTAAGTGAAAAAGAAAACACATTGCTCCCAATCTGTTTCTGTTTGTTTGTTTTATGCAGACTGACTGCATTAATCATCAAAAGTAACCACAGGATCCCCAAGCTGTCAGTGTGGCACCTGGAGGGACATGGTACGCATGCCTCCACTGTAAATGGAATGAAATAAAATGAATGGAATAAAAATATATATATTTCTTTAAATTAAATGGGCAAACCTCACCCGTTTTCAAACCAAGAATGCTAAAATCTTGTGAGATTTGGTAGTCACCTAAGGCAGGGTTTCTCAACCTCGACAACTTTCAGATGGGTGGACTTCAACTCCCAGAAT